TCCGCTCTCCTTCCGCCGACACGCGCATATGGCGAAGTGCGTACGCACCTCTGAGATAGCACAAATCATATTTTATGATAAATCATATGCAACGGGTTCGATTCCCGTTCGCCGGGGAAAGTTTTACTCGGAACCGAGTGCTGTACCAACATCTCGTAACATAACATTTGCAGTCAAAGTTCATAATGTATTTCTAGGTTAGTTAGTGTCGGCTACAAGGCGGTATGTGTCTTGGTTATGGATTTTCCCTTATAGGTTATTAACAAGTGTTTATTGTTTCGCATCATTGTTCCAAATATTTGTTTTGTGTTTTATATTAATTATGGATTGTGAAAAATAAATGAATTTTTTCTACCTGATGTATTCACTCACACCGCAGAAAATCAACTGAGCTCCTAGTTATAAGTCGCATTATGAACTGCAGTATTAGTGACACCTTTTTACATATCTTAATTAATGGAAACATTACGAATGTACTGCATTCTGTTGCGGTTCATCAGGGGACGTAACCCCAGATTTGCCCGAGGTCCTACAGTACAGGCAGTTGTTTGCAGGAGCGATACTACTCATCATGAATATGGGAGATCGTAATATATCGAGTAATACGCGTTTTTATAATGCAAGCACTCGATGGTGAACATGCGTACGCATTGCTCAAAAGTCGAACCCAAACGAAGTTTCCTGACCGACGATGCGCTTTAAAATGACATAGTGCGGATTGGTCGTGGACGGATTTGTCGTAGAGCTGTTTACACATGTAAGCATGTGTAAAAAAAATAAATGAAAGAAGAAAGCGTTCAACTGACAATAAGAAAATTTTGATGCTTACCTCATGTTGGTTTATATGTAAGAGAACATGAAGATTACGTGTACAGATGATGTGACAAATGTACAACATTTTGTGTAAGCATGTGTAAATAAAAGATGCACTTTGCTTGTGTAATATTTTGTTTTATTACAATTCCACTTTTACATTTGCGCTTGATCATTGCAGTTTTGTGGTGAATTCGGTAGGTTTATGTTCATCGCAGTCTTCAGGATTATCAAACTGATATTTTTGTTTACGGGTTCTTTGTACTAAAAGAAATCAAAATATAACTGGTGAGTTAATGTCGTAAAATTTCTCGCAGATCAGTTATCATTCTAGTTTGCGTATTATTTGATTGGTTGGATACATCGTTCACTCAGTCATTACACCACTATCTTTTTGTTTAATATAGAATCATAGATTCCTCCATCAGATAGTTTATTTAAGGAATCCGCAAATAATCGAGGACTATCAATATATGTTTATGCTTTAATGTCTGCTTTCGCAAATGATTACTAATTTCATGCGCCATATTGGATACTCATTGCCAGCAAAAATTTTTAAATTCCGACTTTTCGGCGACATACTGTTTCAAAAGTAATCATTCGCACCAGTGTAGATAGGTGAAAGATGTTTGTGCAAATGAAGCAATGATGTGAATCTTTCAGATGATGCACGTACCGCATCATATAACAGTGATGGGTGCCGAGTCGAATGGCGAATTCAATCATTTGTCACGCTATCAGTATGACAACAATATTGATCTAGCCTCTAAAATGAACGTTCCTGATCGCATACTTGTTGCTGGTGGTGATAGTACCCGTGCGGATCGTGCACCTCCGACCGAAGTTATGGCCGATCGTTTTCAACCTGGCTATGCCATTCCAGTGAGCTACTTTCAAATCCATGTCTTGATTGAATCGAATAAAAAATCCGAACGTTCCTATGGATCTTCTGATTTTTATGTTTATATTCAAAACTTTGAATTTTGTCGTTAGGATTTTGTGGCTAAAAGGCGTAAGAGGACTCCATTCACTGCTGAAAACTTACAGTTAAACTCAGCTTTAGATCATGACTGATCTTTAGTTGTAGATTCACCAGTGCAAAATGTTAAATGTAAGTGGAGGTCAAAGCGTTCGCCCACAGTTGGTTTGGCCGTTGGCTCTTATTTAGGCTTAGTGATCAGCATTATCGCTGACAACACGCAGAATGTTTCCGCAAGCTTTCTGATGAGTTTGCTCATTTTGCTGCGGAATTTCGTGCGCAAAATCTTACTATTCGCAAAGTAAAATGCAACTGTTGAAGGAATTAGAGACTCCACCCGAAACGTTGACACTCGACAAGGCTAATTATCCAGATATTCCTGATGAAGAATCACCGAATATGAATAACTCACAGCCGCAAGTAAGTGGAAACTTTTACGTCGAATGTTTATGATTTAAGTTAACTCGAATTTTGGGGCACCTTTTTTGACGGTCTTCATGTTGTGGTACATCCTGCGAGACAGCTGAACTGAAGTAAATGCTTAATTGTGATTAGATCAGCAAAAGCAAACCAAAATTGGCTCTCGTTTTAAGATTTTCAGTTTGTGGCTGTAAAGGTCTATTGATTAAACTCGAAAAGTAGTGTGACTATGAATCATTATAATTCGCAAATTAAGGACGAAAGCATGTCAGCAGCATCAATAGCAGTTGATGAAAATCCACTTGGAGAACTGAAGAAGATGCGTAGACAAATGGGTCGTATATCGACACGACTGCTTCAATTAGAAGACGAAAATGAGAGAAGGAAATCCCGGGAATCACTAATATGGCTATCACTGATCACTACAGCTGGTCTTATCTTAACCATGATCTTCCAAAGAGGTGGCTTCAAGTGAACGCTCCCTGAACCGAATTAACGTGAATTCATGGTGTCTGTCCACATTTCCTTTATACCGAAGCGTTTTTGCAACTATAATATTTGGAAATGCTCAAGTATCAAACGATCAGTTGTTCTCAATGTGTATCATGTGGGAACACCGAAGCTCTTTACTTTCAGTTTCTAATTTATTTTTGTTATCCTATTTCGATTTGTTTCATGAACTTGTGCATCGCGATATTGTAGTAACCGCTTATTGGCAGGCAACATCATGTCATTGTCAATATCGAGACAATTTTCCTTTTGTTTCGTTATTATTTATGCTGCGACTAGTTTCTTAGTCATTCGGATAGATGAATAAAGTTCCATCAGGTTGCCGTTAGGAGTTCATATCCTTCTTTACATCCGTTCATTGAATCTCTACTTTAAATTTCATTGGAGGAATAGCGTTATCGTGAGTAAAGTCAGTCTTTGATTTTATCTTCTCGAAAAAGAATCTCATGCTGAAGTAGACGATGTTTCATTAATTGTTCTGCTTTGTTATGGTCATTCAAATAACTCGTCGATATTGAATGGTTTGCCAATTGATTTACCCACTTTCCTCAATCACCCGTTCATTTTTCCACCTTTTACTGCAGTTGGTCACTGATTTTCAAATCAGTGACGAATAGCATTGAAAGATTTTTTCTACCTATATTGTTTTGGATTTTCATAAGTTTGCCTGTTTTCGTTATAATTCTTTCATATCTGTATCATATATTTCCCTCACTTAGTAGCAAAAAAAAGTAAATTTGCTTTACACTTTGTATATGCTAAGCTATGCGGCGACCATTGCGTTCCCCTTCCGATCAAGTTGAATTTAATAAGCTGCAAATGGGACATTTTGGTACTGTAAATTTTTGCTCGAGATCTTTTGGCTCCAGGCTAGATATTTAGATATCTCCAACTAAAAAAAAAACAGATTGCGGATTTCGACAATTAACTGCATTAGGACGGCATTACACCAAAACGTATGAAACTAAAATGGCTACGTTAAAACGTCCTCCATCCAGATGAGGTAGCTGCTTATGTCTTAGTTTAGGTTAGTTTGCTCTAGCTGGATTGTCGGTTTACCTGAACGTACTTTCATTGTTAAGCAAATATAATTTCCATTATATCATGATTCTTATCATTCATTTATCGTAATACAATGTTATTATTATTTGTTATTTGATTAGCCAATATGTAATTTTTGTGTATTTTGTATTTTGAGTAATCGTTTGTTTGAATTGTTCTCAACTCTAAATGAAAGGTGATTGCAATGCGATTGATGATTTCCGTCTATATTGGACAAAAATCAATAGCTTATGGAATTCATTCTGATAAGAATGCAAGGAGTTATGTAACAGTGTATCTGATCAGTGATAAACATTTACAATTCATATAAAGTTCATTTTTCTCATTGCATTGCAATTGACCTAGGTATGATACTTGCTTCTGAGAGAGAATTTATCTGTATGGTTGATTATTTACGACAAATGCTGTGTTCTATTATTTCTGCTAAGCATTATTAGTTGGACTGTTTATCAGCCTTCATTCTTTCATATTCAACAAGATTGATGTAATCTGTCGGATCGTTTACGTTTCAGTGTCTCAAATTTTCGAACGGTTCAATGGAATTCAATTTGATCAAAAATCTTGACATATTAGTTTCACAAGTCGACACTGAATAGCGTATCGCATTCGTTTCGGCAATAGGATTATTTGATAATAATTCATCAAAAGATACGTGTTGTTAATTGACTGGTGACGGTATCAATTAACTGGCGAATGTTTGAGTATGTTGTACGATCGTTATTTATTTTTGTAATACCATTAATATTCATTCGTTGCATGCAGTGGCTCACCATGCAATGCATCTCCTTTTCTGCTTGAAATTTATTTATTTAACGCGTTAATAGCCGCATTTTCATTCCCATGAATTCATTCTGTTGGGTATTCCAGAATTTCATCCTTACTTAGAGAAGCCCATTCTCAAATCACATTTTTTATTTAATCACTGAACGTGAACAAATTTTTGCTAGTTTCGATGTCACTTTTGAACAAAAATCAAGATTTCACTCATCGAAAACGATATTTTTGACTGAAATGGTATTTTTTGTCGTTATTTTGGAGTATTTCTTTAATCAAATTGTTTTCACCTGTATTTGTTATGCATTTTGTGCAAAATTATCCTTGAGATTCTCTGAAAATAGGAACGTTGCATTTAGTTGCTGATCAATTACTTATTTTCACTCCATTGATCTTCTCGTTTCTTCCGAATAATAATTACCACAAAATGCATTGCCATACCCAAAGATTTCTGCCCTTTGTGCTGCCCACTCAACGATCTTCTTAGTGGTTACGTTGTATCGAAAACAGAACACCTCTCTGATCTCACAAAGATTACCGATGATGACGCCTTTTGAATACGGGAAAAGGTAAATCGTCGCTTTTATTGACTGACGCTCGAAACATTCTTGTATTTGGTAGTTTGGTGGATTGGTTCACGAAACTAATCATCATACGTTTTCAATTGTTCTGTGTAGATCTCGTTGTAATATTCATCAGGAAATAAAGCCCTGGTTTCATCTTGTGCTGATTGATCAATCAATACCTCTTATATTCATCGTTTTTACACTCAATCTATAAGGAACTCGTTCTCCTCTCCTAAACATAATGAATGTAGTCATGAAATGCTTTCGGAAAGGAATGTTCAGTTCATGTGCGAATGCTCTACAATATGTTTGATTACATGAATGCAACAGACTAATCCTGCTATAAAGAAACACTTGGAACACACAGAGAAGAAACTGATAAACTGTTATCAAAGCTTCTTTTACTGTGCATGTATTCATCTTCAGTGGTTCTAATGAAATGAGGTCTCGTGAATACTTGTGCAGTTGTTTTGATTTTGTAGTTGTAATTATCTGGTGTTTTGAATGCATTGAAGATATCTATAGTAAATTGCTGCAGTATTTTTTACGAGACTTGCACGTTTACAAAATAGTTACGTACACATCGAACCATGAATAATTAAGTAAAGGTTTCAGTGGTCACGATATCTGCTTGTATTATATAAATATGTTTTCATCCAATGTGATATCATGTTTCCCACTGGTGAAGGGTTTGTGAATCTGTATTTTTATTGGATCATTACATTTTATTTTTTTTAAGCGATAAATGTTATTGTTAATCTTTTTTTTTAATTCTATCGATTTCGGGATCAATTCATTTGTGAAGTGATAATTTAATATTTGGAAATAAATTAGTCGAAGCAATGTTTGTGTTGTTTTTTGTATTCATGAGAGTTCATTCATTCTGAAACTTTCTCATTCTCGTCTGATATTTCTGTTATGAAGAGAAACGTCTCGAATTTTCAATCGACGAGTGCGTTATTTCTTCGAGTATCGCATTCGTCCTCAATTTCTTCGTTTTCTTCAAAACGGTTGAATTCTATCCAATTGATTTCAATTCGTATTGATTCTTAGCACACACCATCTAAAAACTCATATGGATGAATTGACTCGAACTGAAACTATGAAAGACCAATATAATCATCGCGTTGCCTTATTTCACCCTGATATTTTATCTTACTGATCCAAGTATTACCTAGCGAGTTTCCCCCATCTGTACCAATAAGCTTCTCATCCGCTTTGTAACGTTACTTAACACAATTTTGTTGCTTCCTCGCCTACTATCCTATTAACGCTATATTCAGCCTCGAAAAAAAAAGATTTTCTATTCAATCATTTTGTCAAATCTGTTGATCACTCGACAAGTTTCTTCCCTTCTACGAGAGTTTCAGTTAATCGCTAGGAAATTCACTTCCAATTTAATTTCTAAATAAATGCCGGGCAGTATTCGTTTAATACTATAAGTGACGTTAACGTTTCCATTTCGGTCGAGCATTTTTCACAAGTAAATCATTCGACATTTCCAGGAATCACATCACTCACTGAATGCTTTACTCATGATACGATGTGTCCTGCTAAGAATAAATTCAACACGTTTGAATTATCTCAAATGTGAGTCTGATTTTCGCTTGTTCATCGCACTCCACTCTCAGTTTCATTCTTTTTAATCTTCTTAAACACATCTTTCTAAAAAAAAAACGATTGCATTGAACATATGACGTTTTGGGCAACATTCACGAATAAATCGATGGTCACCACCGATCTACATTCTACAGCTTAACCGATATCACAAATATTTATAAATAATTCGTAACTACAAATCAATTCCTTGATTCATTTCAGACAGTACTGAAGCAGCACGAAAGTTTGTGAGAATCGGTAATGTGCGAGCAAATATTCACAAACCAAAAAAACCGTATTTAGTGCCCATTGGATTTGGTAAGTGGTTTAGAGTATTCGTTGATGCGCCATTTCAAATTATTGGATTTCAAAAGCAGTGGAATTATTGGATTTCAAATTATTGGATTTCAAAAGAGCATCAAGAATTGAATATGTTATAGAATTTTGAAAATAACATGTACACTTGTACACTTGCTTCGCATGTGTACATGAAGCAATACCAATCTGCCATTTCTGTTTTGTACGAGAAATTGATTTCATTTTATTGTAGTCCTCTTCCAAACAACAGTATGACTTGATCTCTTCCATTTTTTTCATGGTGGATACGTCTTAGGAATATGTATACTATTAAGTTTTGATCCGTGAAAATATGTTGGTATTTACATTTTCCGGTTTATTCCTTTCGCATCAGGTTCATTGGTGTTATTAATTAATGATCCATTCTTTCGATTGTTTAATTACTTCATGAACTTTCGAAAACTCATATTCACCTGGTCGTAGGAGTACAATTTTTCTTGTATATCACACAGATGCTTTGAATTACTTTATGCATTTATAGGTGTGAAAGAGGCAGACAGCAGTGTATTGTCTCATTTAAAATGGCTGCTACAAAAGGACTCACTTAAGCAGGACGTCTTTCTAATCGGTGCGCCTGGAGCGTTGAGATCTAATATTGTTCTACAATATCTTGTGAGTTTCTTAATCACTGAATACCGATCAAAATTTTATTGAATGACTGATATCATTTTCGGAAAACTTTCGATGGTATATCTGACAATGCGCAAAACCATAATCGCTTGCGAAGGAGTGCCTCTGAAATCGCTCGGTGACTTTTTAGTATTGAGTTATTTTGGTTCTCCGTATTTGCATCAAAATGCCACGAAACATCGCAATTTGTTGAGTTACAGTCGTTTTGAAGTGAATGCGATATGTATATTTGTCGACGGCTATTATAATTTACCTCATATGAATAATCTAATTGAAAATTTTGGTCGTTAAAAAATATTGGATTATGTTGGTTTGGGTGTCCCCGCTATTTTTAATTATCGGCATTAACGTCAGTATTTAATTAAGATGATTATTGTGCTCCGTCATAATTATTTTCGTTATCGTAATGATTAGAATGAGAATTGAATTGAAGGAGTTGTGTGGACGTGAATTTGAATATTTGTCGATAACCAGAGATACGACAGAAGCAGACATCAAACAACGAAGAGAGATACGAAATGGAACTGCGTTTTACACAGATCTTGTTAGCAGTTGGCTTTATTTGCGTTCGGGATGGATATTGTTTGAAATGCGATTAGGTTTTATGAAATGTGATCGCAATGAAATTAATTTTAGTGCGCCGTTCGAGCTGCACTGAATGGTCGTGTATTGGTGATTGACGGAGTGGAAAAAGCAGAACGGAATGTTTTGCCGATTTTGAACAGTCTCTTAGAGAGTCGTGAAATGCAGTTAGATGACGGGCGTTTCCTGATTGCTGCTGATAAATACGATAAGCTAGTTGAGGTAGTTGGATGGTTGAATTTTCTTTTCCGTGTCAATTCACTCTTACAGTTGTTGTTTAAAAAAAAAACATCTTACGTATTTTTGTTGTCAATAGTGTGTGCTTAAAAATGAACTCACAAAAAGAATTCCTCTCGGAATTATTATCGATTCACCATCAGTTTTGTTTTCTTCAAATCACTTCCATCCAGATCTGATATGTGATCGCCTTCAGACGAAATAAAGCCTGATCTTTGCTCAGTGGTCATTAGAATTACTGACTAATTTTGTCGACATTTGATTCAAAAAACTCTGATCTATGCATAGAGCAAAGAAATGTTCGATTGAAGGAAATGGGCGAAGAGAGGGTTCGTGAAAGAAAACTCGAACGCGTTTCTGAAAATTTTTTGGTGGTAGCGCTTGGATTACCAGTGCCACCGTTCAAAGGACATACGTTGGACCCACCGCTGCGTTCAAGATTCCAGTGTCGTCAAATTGACTCAATGCCTTTTGCAACACTCCATCAACTGTGCACCGCATCTGCCCCAAATATTGCATCTGATCGCATCTCTTCGTTGATCTCACTGTGCCTTGCAATCAACTCATCTGAAGCTTCATCACTAGCATTACCTCGTTTCCCAATCGATAACCTCATCAATATAGCCAGAATTTGGGTATTTGTTTTTGTTTTAAATTCGAACTCTCTGAAATGAAATGGTTTAACCTCGGCAGTTCCGGTGTGGTACTTTGTCATTTGTACCAAAACTCGAGCATACTTTTCACGGAAAATTACATTTTTGCCATTAATGTTAGTGATTGGGGCGGTGCACTTTTTGGCGCTTCACTTGGAACAACATTGAATGAAACGATAAAGCACAAAACAGCAATATGGTGCTTAAACTGCACAATCCATCAG